TCACCCATGATTGCAGTCAACGGCTCATCCTGCTCTCATTAAATATTTCTCCTGTCACATCAGGATCTTGCTCAAGTCCACTATTAACCTTTCTTCTAGATCTGTGTTACCTGCAGGAACAGGATGTGATCCTGTGTGTGTGAAAGATGCTCCAGCTCAGCGTCTCTCCTCCTCAGATCATTGAGCTCCTGCTCCAGTCGCTCCAGTTGTCCTTCAGCTCGTCTCACTGCAGTCTTTTCCTGATCTCTGATCATCTGTGTGACCTCAGTGCGGCGTCTTTCAATGGAGCAGATGATCTCAGTGAAGATCCTCTCACTGTCTTCCACTGCTGTCTGTGCAGAGCGCTGTTGGACACGCATAAAAATCACAGTGGCTTCAGTGGGACTGAAGGAAGAGAATTCTGAGACGGAGACAAACTTCTCTTCTTCTCCAGACTCACCTTATGAGACTGCACAGCCTTTCTCAGCTGCCAAAGATCTTTCTCTCTCTGCTGGATTCTCTGCTGAAACTGCTTCTGCATCTCCTTCAGCTGCTTCTGGAGAACAAACCAATAACAGGAAACATAAGAATACATAAACAATGCTACATAAAACAAATTGATATGAATCCAATATCTGTGAAATGGTGTACTGAAGTGGTTAAGTATCTAGCATGGTGGGATTATAGATTCAATCCACATTAGTTTTCTGAAAAGAGATTATAACTGAACTATGGCAGATGGACAGTGACTGAAGCAAGGAAACAGGTGTATGAAAGTCTGTGAAAATCCCACTGATGGGAGACAACAGATCCATTAAGAAAAGTATTTGCATGTCAATGAGTGAAACCTTAGCTCGATAACCTCAAGCAGAAGGTGAAGTGTTGCAGGGCTTTTGAAGAATCTGCATGTCCGCATTATTTATTAAATGTGTAGTTTTAAAGGAATAGTTCACCAAACAAACAAACAAATAAATAAATTCTACCATTCAGTTTTCCTTATGTTGTTTTTCAGCCTGTATAACAAATAAATAGATGAATAATGTCAAATTACGTAATATGTCTCTTACGTAACAAACATATTGATGTCAATAACATCCAACCTCACTGGCTCATGCATGTACTGCCTCACTGGCTCATATGACTAAATGTCACCTTTTTTTAAATTTGGGGTCTGTATACAGTACATGAACTAATCAAATATTTGATTTGGTAGTGAGCCCTGCTGAAAAATCAAGCATAAATTCCATGCTGGTCCTTGCTGGTTAGCGTTTGTATAGTGCTCGTTAGTGCTTATATAGTGCTGGTATAGCTAGTGGAACAGCATAGTCATGCTGTTCATAAGCAAAATAGAGCTGGTGAAGCTGATGCACCAGCATGTTCTTGCAGGATTGAGTGCGAGTATATACATAATAAGTGAAGATGCTGAGGATGATCTAATGGCACTTTTCCACTGTGTGGTACAACTCGGCTTGGTTTGCTTTTCCACTGCAGTTTAATACCGCTTCAAAGTGATTAGGATTATAGACTGATTGTTTTAGTTGTGCCGCCACCTCGTCCACTGACTACGATACAGCCATTTCTTTTTTTTCAAGTTGCGTACAATGGTCGTTCAAAGCAAGTCATATAAAAAAGTTGAAAGCAAAAAAATTATACTGCGGTGGCTGCTGCTGACTATTTAAATCTAGCGGGTTTGGTGTCTCGTGTCGCAAATCCAATGACACTGGTAGTGATGATTCTCTCTGACCAATCAGTGATCTGCAGTTTTTACAGGTCACATTTTAGTATTGGTACGGCTGGCCTGGAACCTCAACCGAGGTGGTACTAAAAAAAGTACTAGGTACTAGGTTCTGTACACAGTGGGAACCATAAACAGATGAACGTTCTTTAAAATATCTTCCTCAGGAAAAAGAAAGTCATACAATTTTGGCATGACGGGAAGAATAAATCATTTTTGGATAAGCTACTGCTCTAAATTCATACCTGTTTCTCTGTCCTCTGTGCTGCAGCTGATACAGTGTTGTGGTTTTTATGTTCATCCATCGTACACAGCACACATATACACTTCTGATCAGTGCGACAGAAAACCTCAAGAAGCTTGTCATGTTTCTGGCAGATCATCTCCTGCAGTCGTCCAGTGGCTTCAGTCAAATTGTGACCCTTTCCTTTAAAGAAACTGTCATGTTGCTCGAGATGATTCTGACAGTAAGAGTTCAGACACACCAGACAGGACTTGATAGCTTTGTATTTTCTTCCAGTACAGACGTCACACTGCACATCTCCAGCTCCAGCGTAACAGTCAGCAGGAAGTTTGGTCTTCTTCAGTTTCTCCACCACTTCAGCCAGAATGGTGTTTTTAGCTAAAGCAGGTCTTGGACTGAAGGTCTGTCTGCACTGAGGGCAGCTGTAGACTCTCTTCTGATCCTCCTGATCCCAGCAGCCTGTAATACAGCTCTTACAGTAACTGTGTCCACAGGAAGTGGTCACTGGATCCTTAAAAAGATCCAGACACACTGGACACATGAACTCACTTTGATCCACTGAAATTCTGGCTTCTGCCATCTTACTGCAAGAATACAGAGACACACAAACACACAACAGCTCAACTAAAGTTAGTTTCTCTTTCCCCGTTTCCTGGTTCTATGTTTGAGTGACGTGAATAAAACAAGGCACGGTTGCCATGTCCCAGAAAAATTTACAGCCAAAAGCTGACTCATACCCCGTCCAAAAGGAATGAAATCCAGCCCAATTTTCCCACTGTCCCATCACAGTTCACAGCTATGGGATTCCCATAAATTGCCTTAGAACAAATAAAATCAAAATGATTTAAAGTTTATGTTTCATTCTTGATTTTATCTAGGCTTGTTTAAATGACATATGGATATATTTAATTATTAGGGACCAAGAACCAATGGTGTGAAGACCCTCTTGGAATTGCTCTGTTTATTAATAATAACACCGGGAAGGCCTGTGGCACAGCCTTTCATTGGAATTTTTTTTGACTTGATCTTACCTTTACTGCTTTATAAGAATAAGCACTATAATATATACTATATATATAAACTCTATAAAGCTGTTAAAGGTTTACAAAAAAATATGAAAAAATGTTTCACAAACAGCTTGGTCTCTTTCAAGGTAAGGAGCCAGATTTTGATGTAACAAGCTACTGATATGGACTCCTCATAAAATATTTAATGCTGAACTAAATTAACAAATACATGGCATAAACACATGGCATTACAGATACAAACCACTTGTTTAGTTCTTGTAAATTTCCAGTAAGGTTCCATCATCTATTTTCTTTAGGACAGCTAAAGCTGTAGGCTCCTGCTCACAAAAACCCCTGCAAGTTCCAACAGTATTCCGATCTACACCCAGCCATGCTTAAAGGGGTAACTGATTATGATTTCACTTTTTTAACTTTGGTTAGTGTGTAATGTTGCTGTCTGAGCATAAACAACATCTGCAAAGTTATGATGCTCAAAGTTCAGTGCAAAGGGAGATTGTCTTTTAGAGAATTCGCTTTTTAAAGAGCAGGTCATATGGTATTTTAAAGTGTCCTAATATTGTGTTGAGTCCCCTACAACATGTTTAAATGCATCTAAGGTAAGAAAACATTGTAATTTTCTCAGAATATACATTTAATATTAGAATAATTTGTCAATGATTTCGAAACGATTCGTTCGAAGCAGACTCATCCCTTCCGTAAGCCTACTCTGCTCTGATTTGTCAGCTGGCCAAGTCTGTTGTGATTGGTCTTTCCATATAAAATGCGTGTCGTAAACAAAACGTCCATTACCATAATTCAATTTTGCTCCGGAGGGTTACTTGTAAACAAAGATGCTATAAGGTTACAAAAATGGCATAGATATTTTGATACTGATATAGGATGTGTAACGAATCAGCTCATGACAGGAAATATGAATAATTAACCATAACTAGTTATAATTAACTATTCATATTTTAGATCCGCTGTAGATATTTTGCTGACCTCTCAGGGTCAACTGTCTTGTCAATTCCAAGAATGTTAATTTCCTGGTTAAGGGAAATAACTTTCTTACTGTACAATTCTACAAAGCTTGTAGCGTAAATCTGCATGATTAGTGACTCCGGTTATGAGCAAACAATGAACACGTCAAGTGTGATACAAGTATCAAATTAAAATTAGTGTGTCAGATTGTTCGAGACGCTACAGATGATACCGATGCAGTCGCTCAAACTGAAACTCCATCGCAAGCACAGCTTGATCAGGACGTTTCTCAGTGGTACGTTTAAACTTTGTATGTGATACTTTATGTGATGTGTAACAGTGGTTTTAATGCATTCATTATTATTATTATTTACTTATTTGAGTTGCACGTGTGGGGACTGTGTTAGAATGCCCAGTGAGGCTGAAAACACAGCGTCTTCTTGACATGATGTAAACGCACTAACTAGCAGAAATGTTTGTGGGCAGGTCAGTGTTCGTATTTCGTGGGCAGGTGGGGATTATGCAAATGTATGTGTTAACTTGTGACATATAACAGGCAGAAAATTAGAAAATATGATGAAAGTTGAGACAGAGCGCACATCAAGTAGGTGGTACTGCGCCTGTGTAGAGCTCGTCCGTCCGCACTCATCCGCAATTTAGTATACTTTGCGTACTATCCGTGGAAAGTGAAGTATACCCGGGCCTTAAGGAGAAATGTCTGATAGGACGATGGCGAATTATTTGCAGATCCTGAGCACCAATGACGAACATCTAATTTTGTCAAATGTGTGGTAAGTACTGCCGCTCCATAGTATAGAGTCCTTGTGATGGTATTGACATTTTTTTTATCCTCCCATCTCATAGGCTATTTATTCCATTTAGGGTTTCCGTAGTACACTTCATTTCCTTTCCGAACACAGAACTGGAATGCGGCGGATTGCGGGAGAGGGGGTGTGTGGGTGGGGGGGGGGGATCACAATGTCAGTTTAACATTGTGATGGCTGTCAGCCATCGGCGATGGATGATGGCATCCTCTATCGGCCCAACCCTATTCTAAACCATCTATTGTGTTTTATTGTTCCACTATAGTAATGATAATATTTACAATAATATATTGAATTTGATAGGTGTCTCTCACATTGTTCCACAGCAACATTAAAATAGTGTAGATTAATGTACAATGTTTTATAATAATAGTTTATTCTATTTAGTGTCCATTTAATTCATTTAACATATTTAAAGGGGTCATATGATGTGATTTCAATTGTTTCTTTCTCTTTGGAGTGTTACAAGCTCTTGGTGCATAAAGAAGATCTGTAAAGTTGCAAAGACTAAAGTCTCAAATCCAAAGAGATATTCTTTATAGACAGGGGTGCACATAAGTGGTCCGCAGGTCACCATGCACAACCAAAATAAGATATGTGCTGTGTAAATTAGTTCAGAGCACGCATTTGCGTACCTACATGGTTGACAGCTGTTAATGCACAATTACCATTTAGATCTCCAAGCTGAAAGCATAAATCTTTATGATCTTTAGCAAAATGACTAAATGTAAATCTAGGCTACCCGCTAATGTTTTCAAAGCACAATGCAAAACTGTGACATTTCACTCACTGACGCTCTACAGTCAGCAGCGCTAAACCCGGAAGCGCATATACTTACTTGCTGGCAACCCGCCAAAATAAACGCTTGCTCATTTTAAGTTTGAAAATGAAAAATTTGAATAATAATTAAGGTTCAAATTAAAATAATAATAATACAAATATTGGCATTTTATGTAAGTTTACTATAAAATAATTGTATTTGTATTTATTACTCCTTTTTTATTTTAAAATAAAATTGTATTATCACAGTTTATTATTTAGTTTATGATTTTATATATATAAAAACTAAATAAGTGATGTTTATAAACAAATTTCGGGAGGAGCACGCACAAATAATTAACACGGCCAGTCCATCATTAGTGATTACACCATTTATCCAATAAGCGCAAGAGAAAACTCCAATAAATAACCAAGTACGTCCTACCTTCGCTATCTCTCGACTTTCAGTATTCGGTTCGCTGCTTTTGCCTTTTTACCACAGACCCAATTTCCCGTCCAACGAAAAGACCTATACTGTAGGGCAGAGGTTTGCAAAGTCTAAGACAGTAGGCCTCCCTTTTTGACACAACTTACCCAATGTCGCTTGTTTGCTGCCGGTAGAATTAACGTCTCTCAAGTTGTATGTGAAGGTGTCGCCGAAGTTTTGCGGGTCTCATGCTGTCATTAGCCAAAATATCTTGACAAACCACACATAAAGGTCGTGGTTCATCAGCTGGTCCTGTCCATGTAAATCCTAAACTCTAAAAATATTGATCATCATATCGTCGTCTTTTGGGTTTAAGCCCTGAATCTGAAGGCTTTGAATCGGGAGATCTCAGAAACCGCTCCATAGGCTTATTCACAGCTACGGCCTTCTGGGTGAAAAATGTTTCTCCTATTTTTGACTTATTATTTTTTAGTATCATTTAAATAAAAACATTTAATTATAATAAAAAATAAATATAATTATTTAATTTAATTTAACTCAATAATTCTATTTTTAATGTATTATAATTCCCCCCCGCGCCTCCCCTGAAATGCTCTGGCACCCCCCTGGGGATGCGCACCCCACACTTTGAAAACCCCTGCTGTAGGATGACCATATTTTGATTACCGAAAACCAGGACACTCTGCCCGGCAATGAGATACTCAAATGATACTCGAAGTTTACTCAAAGATGCCTTATAATTTCAATACATTTAAAGTATGCCTCCTCTGTATGGATAGAAAATTGTTATATTACAAAATACTATCTATAACCAAAGACACAAATTCAGCTAGGCTTCTCAGAGGTTACTCAACATGTTTTACTGTGACAAGTTTCAAATATAACGAATGAAATAATTATAGAAATAATGTCTCTTCTGTATTAGAAAAATAAATTAATAAATAAATAATAAATAGCTAAAAAATACCTCTGCTATATTAGCAATCCAAATTTAACAAAAATAGCTCTCACAAACTTACAAAAACTAACTAACAAAAATATCTATATCTTTAGTTTTCTTCTTCATACTCGTTTTCCTCTTCATCCTGTTTTTCTTCCTCATCCTCCTTGTTTGCCCATCTATATTTTGCTGTAGAGCTGATCTTTCCCAGCAGTTTTTTGTTGCTTAACAAATAAGCATGAAAGTCTTTGCAAGAAGTGTCTTTGAAGTTGTATTGCACAAATAGAATCCCTTTCAATGACTCAACAGAGAGCTGGTTCCTCTCCTTTGTCCACTGGCTCTGCATCAGTGAGAAAACCCTCTGAACATTTGAATTGCGAGAGGGAAGTGCAAAGACAAACAGTGCAATCTTCAGTAGTTCTGAGTAGCATGCAATGCTTTTGGCCTTCTCAAAGTATTTGGTCCACTTCTGGTGCACCTGCAGGCCAATGAACTCCTCATCACTGTTGCACCTTTCTATGAATTTCTTCAGATTGGCGACCTGGTCAAAACACTTGACATCATCAGTTGAGTTCTCAACATTTACACCATTCACAATGGCTTCGGTCTTAGTGCGGGCAC